CTGACCGAGGGGGGCAAGGCAGAGGGCAAGGTGAAGAGGATGTGTGCGCCTACCTGGAGCGTGGACGCCTACCGGACCTACCTGACGGTGCTCTTCAGCACCAGCATCATGGCCCCGGGAATCATCATTGGCTTCCTCTACACGCGCCTGGCCAGGACCTACCTGGAGTCCCAGAGGAACCCCCCCCACAAGGAGAAGAGCAAGAGATCCCCCCGGCAGAAGGTCCTCATCATGATTTTCAGCATCGTGCTGGTCTTCTGGGCCTGCTTCCTGCCATTTTGGATCTGGCAGCTGGTGCGACTCTACAGCAGCTCCCTGCAGCTCACCACCCAAACCCAGAAGTGCATTAACTACCTGGTGACCTGCCTGACCTACAGCAACAGCTGCATCAACCCCTTCCTCTACACCTTGCTCACCAAAAACTACCGGGAATACCTGCGCAACAGGCACCGCAACTTCTACAGGTTCACATCCTCCTTTCGCAAGAGGGGCTCCAACCTGCAGTGCTCCTGGGGACGGTCCATGTCCTCCAGCAACCAGTATGACTACAGCTCAGAGGCCCTGGGCATGGCCACGCTGAAGGACAAGTGAGGAAGAGGAGGCGCTCCAGAGACACCAGGACCAGCAGAGCGTCTGGCCAAGGTAGGATGTTGGGACCCCTTAGCCCTCAAGGGTCCTAAAAACTCATTTCTGGTGGTCACTCCGGTTAGGAGCAAGAAGTTGCGTGAAGCCAAGTACTGTGAGATGTGTTTGAATTTCTGTCTGGCTTAGGGCTGTCAGGGGGGTGCTGCCGGGAGCCAGTGGCCAGCAGGGACAAATCCATCAGGTTTTCGGGTGCAGAAGATGAGGTGGATACTTTGTTCAGTTCTGCAAACTCTTTTCACGCTTTGCTGAGTTTTGCCCAGCTCCAGCTCTGCACAGTTTCTCCAGTGTGCTTTCTCGGTGCTATTCTCTGGCTACAGCTGGGTCAGATCCACCAAGTCAGAAACTCTCCTGATATTGCTTAATTTAGCTGCAAGCCTGGAGTTTGCCCTATATCTGTTTCTAGAGTGTGTAAAGGGACCCTTTTCCTATTTCCTGGTATGTTATAGTGCACTACAGTTTCATCGAGCTTAAGGTCTCTATTTTAAAATTCATTGCAGCAGCACTTCGAACTCCAGGCATTCAAAAACCACAAGGTAAGCTGTCAGAAACCACAGGATTACCTAAAAAAAAACCTTGTAATTTTTTAAGGTTTCTACCTAAGGTGATTTGAATTTGCCACTGATTTTTTTTTTTAAGCTGGTCGCTTTCTCACCAGTCAACAGGGCTTGAAAACTGAAAATTTACCTGTGAAATAAAGAAAAATGTCTTATAGTCCTATCACTCAAAGACCTGAGGCTCTAAGAAAAATAACTGAATCCTGTATCATGAGACTTATCATAAAAGGGACAAATTTATTCATATCATTTCATCAAAAACATTTTGCCTCCATGTATTCTGCTCATTTTCTCCTCACTTGGCGTCTCATAGTAAACCTTCACACAGATACAAGAGATGCCTGTAAACATCTAAACAATTGTAAAAACCTCAGTTTATAAAATAAACACTGATTAAAAAGTGGACCATCATCAGGTTTCCCCTCGCATGGTCTCTTTGCCCAGCTCAGGGTGTTTATTTACCAGGGGAGAGGCTGCTGTACCCACCTGTTCTCTGTATGTGGGGGTGAAGTTGGGCTTAATATTCCTCTTTCCTGCTCTGGGAAAGACTCTGGGGATAAGCAAAGCACGGTACGAGTTGCATAAACTATTGTCATCAGCTAGTGGTGCCCAGGGACTTCTGAAACTGCAGACAGTTGCCTAAGGAACAGTCAGTTCCACTTTTTTATGGCATACCCCTACCCCATCTGCTTGAGAGGCGTCCCACCCCAGCCCTGCAGCGTTACTGGGTTCCCGTGTCCTGGGCGATCCTCTCGTGTCACACACCAGACTTCAGGCTACGTTTGTGTAAAGCAGAGACACGAAGTGCCGACACCGCAGCCATGGATTGGGAGCAGAGAACGCAGCACAGCCACACACTGGATTATAAAATCCAACTAACAGCACTATCCACTCAACTAACAGCAGAAAAATAAACCCTTCGGGGCACACGTTACATGAACACCAAGGAAGCATGTTGCTGTGCCGGGAGTCAGGCATTCTTCTAATAGATGCAGTTGTTGGGGTGCTTTTTGGGTAGTAACTCACCTGAAATAAGTAGAAATAGGTAAACTCACCTTAGACTTGCTTTTATTGCATGTAACCACAGGACTGTCTTGGAAACACAGGTGACAACTTTGTCATGTTCCAGTATTGTGTTGACTACCATACTGGGCAGTATAAATAGACCTAATGGTGTCCATTTCCTTATGAAACAGGGGTTTAACACACAGTTCATATTGGGAATTGGCAGGGAGAGCGGGCTTTGACAATTTTTAGGAATGAGCTTTCAGGAACTAATTCATTTTTTAATTAATTCATTCTGAAGTCATTGTTACTTTTCCTTTGCTTCCCATTTCTGAGGCTGGAAGTCACTCCCCTATAAGAATAACAAAGATAAGACTTAACTCAAAAGGTGGTGTGGGAAGGCTGGAGTTCGTGCGTCATCTGTGAGGTGTGCTGTGCCTCCTGCTCTCAGGCAGCGTAATCGTGCAGCTGGACAGACGTCTTGGCAGAGCCAAGCATGGCTGCATCCCTTCCAGGTGTAGCACATGCTGTTTGCCAACCTCCGACAAAAAAAAAATAAATTTCCTTATGGCTGCAGAAAGAAAAACTCAACCAAATCAGGAGCCTGACCTGACACTGTACCAATGTGTCTTGATTTCCATTGCTTGGCTTTAGAAGAAGGTCCTTGGAAGGCCACTTACCCACTACAGCGTTACAAGGCTGCTATAGGATGGATGATGATCATGTATGAAATAGTTGCAAGGCATAGTGTATACCTATAACAGGTGTGTAAGGGGAAGCAGATGATGAAAGAGCTGTATAGGTATCAAAAAGAGAGGGCATACAGTTTCTGCTTTGAAAAAAAGCATTTACATTAAAACATCTAAAAACATAGTTATCAATAAGAAGGGCAAGCTGAAAAGGAGTTGTGCCTATAAAAAAAAAGGGATGGAAGTACAGAGCAGATGAGATCTACTCTTGTAACCTAATGTGGGATAAGCAAACAGAAAAGTTTGCTTTGAAATACGCTTCCTGAGGCATCCCATCAGTCCCCAGATGGGATTCTGTTCCTCTGCGCAGCATCACGTAGGGAATGTGCTTTCTGTGCCACATCATCAGAGCATTAAACATCAAAGGGTTGATGGAGGAGCATCCAGATGACATGCAAAATACTGGATATTGGTCACTCATCAGGTTTTCAACCAGTATGTGTTTCAGCCCGGTCCCATCTCAGCGCTGCTCCTCTCTCCCATCAGACTCTAATAAACCCGTACAAGGTCGCTCTATCAAGAGAACCAGTAAATTTGATGACACCCACAAACCATGTCACTGGGGCAGTGGAGAGCCTGTGTAAGACGCAGAACGGGCCGGCGATCAGAAGATGCTGCGTGTGTGATGAATGACGGCTCTTCGGCAGTGCAGGAAGCACGACACGGTGCAGACCTTCACAAACGCGACTGCTCGGGAGCCCCTCGCACTCCCAGGGGTCAGAGCTCGATTTAGAAGATTAATTACATAAACAGCATCCCTCTTACTGTCCCGTCGGACCAGTTAAACTGCCAAAAGTCAGTAGGTTTGACCCACTTCATAAATATCCCGCAAGAGCAGATGTTTTAACTGAGTTCCTGGTGCCCGTAATCGGGTGAGCTTTGACTCTTCTGGCTGTGCTCGTGTTTTGGAAACAAGGACACAGTCTTCATGTATCTTCCTTTAACAAACAAAACCAAATTAATCTGGTAGTTAACTTTGGAAGGGGATTGCTGCTGCCTGTGTATAGCAGAGAGTCCCGTCCGGGGCTGACACAACCTTTAAGTTACCCGTAAGGGGCAGCTTTGCCTGCGGCTGACGCAGAGTATTTTGGGGAGGGTGATGGTTTGGGTTTGGTAGGGTCTCAGCATTCATAAGCACATCTCCCTGTGTGCAAAACCATGAAAAACTACTCTAAAGCACCTCGGGCTGTTTTCTGCATGAGGGAGGCGGATTACCTGGAATCAGCACTAAAAGGGATGAGTCAGGACTCCCAAAATCATGACATTAGAACGACACCTTTTCCCCACAGCCACAGAGGCTGCAAAAGCGTGTGAAAATCGAGATAGACACGTAACCAGAACGCAGATGGTGGGTCTTTGCAAACTCTACGTATCTTGTCACTTACAGTAAACCTGAAGCATCTCAGGCCAGGGCTGAAGTAACAACAGGCAAGTCAGTTGGGCTGGTCCTGAGCAAAACGTGGGGATTTCCCTGAAAACAATTTTACTTTGGCTATTCTCTTACATTCCAAGGCAGCAAGCTACATGTACCCTGGGATCATTTATCATACCCAAATCATTGTAATCCTGTGGTTCTTAATGTGTTTTGAGGGGTTTTTTTGAATTATAAATGAAATTTTGCTGCAGGTTTAGTGCCACAGCTAGTTCTTCAGCAAAATGGGAAATGGTAATTTTGGGGAAGGCAACTGCGTTTTTCCTGTTGGGCCAGAGGTTGTCACTGCAAAACTCCATACATGCTTTACAAGAAAGAAAATAGTTTAATCACTAGAAAAATCTTTTACAACACCCCTTAGGGTTTTGGTTTTTACAACCAAAAAAACCCCAGATTGTGAAAGAAACGCAGCTTCATCCCAAGCGCTCTTTCCTTCCTTTAATCTGAGGTCGTATCTGCTGCAGCAATGGCAATTTTTCCACTCTCTCACTTGAAAAGAGAAAACACCAGTCCTTTGTGGGACAATGGTTGTTTCCATCAGACACAGGAGAATCCATTTGAACCTTTCTGAATTTTTGAAGACTTTACCTTCAAACACACATTTTTTGATCATCTTTCTCCTCGCTTTTTAAAACCAAATTTGCAATAAGTGCTCAAAAGCCCCACATTACAATTTAATCATGAGTGTGAGCATTTTAACTGCTATTTTAGCAGTTATTTTTGGTACTTAGTGTGTGATTCAATACCAGGGAAGCCAGTGAAATGGAGGTGATTTTATGAGCATGTTGTACCTTGCGCGGTACAAAACACACGGCTTGCTGCCCAGTTGCATTAACCAAGGAGAGCAGGCAGGATGACTAAGTCCATAATCTGTTCCCCCACCAACATGATGAGAGGAAGAAAGTGCATAAACCTCATGTCCAAGCCCAGCCCTTAAACCATGGGAGCAGGTAACGCAGCTCTGGAGAAATCCTCGAGGCAGCCCCAGAAAGTTGGACGTCTTTGCCGAGAAGTTTGGTGGGTTTGGGGATGCTCGGCTCTTACTGCCGTATTTCTGAGTCCCTCTGGTGGCAGCAGCAATTTTCCATGCTGAGGTCTCAGGAAGAAAATTTTGCTTTTTATTTTAGGCTTTCAAACATAGTGGTTACACACAATCAGGGCACAACCTGATATAATATAAAATATTATATATTATATAAGAAAGTA